CCATTGCACCAACCCCCACTAGTGATGAGGTACCATTACAATGCATCGCTGGTTGGTGGCCATGTTTGCGTGTTTGCTTGTCGTTAGTGGTCTCTCCACCGTGTGCCTTTTTCTGTCTCTTATTTCTTGTTATTTTCGGCCTGGTCCTTTTTTGTCCTCGCTCTTTATATTTCGTTTTCTCTTTCCTTATTGTTTCCTTTTATTTTCTTCTCCTTTTCTCTTGTTCTCTTTTTCTCTCTTTTTCTGTGCCAGATGGCCTTGTTTCTGCTTGCGTTGTGAAGTACAAAGATTGAACCAAGGGGGTGTGCCTCATTCTCTCCGGCCCGTGATGGTGACCCCTAGTCTCCGTTTTTACCTCGCATAGCGCGCAGAGGGCGTGGAGGACTCCAGAATATCTGTCGTTGATTTCTATTGCCTTGCGGACCCCTCGGGGCCATTTTATTTGAGTGTACATTTTTAGGGTAAGTTGGCCTGCGAGAACGGGAATCGACCGCGTCGAGTGTTGGATCAGTACGGACATACGAAGGTACTGGGTAGAGAGAGATCGGAACGGTTTTTAATGTGAAGACAACAACAACAACAATAAGCAAGGAGCTAGATGCGTACGTAGTGGAGCATAAAAGAGTATTGTTCTTGAGGGTTCGGGGAGATGCAACTTCCCACGGAAGGATAAAACAGGGGACAGGATCTAGTAGCCCCTGCTTGAGCAGCTGATCCTGGCCCCATCTTAAACAGTCCTCTACTTTCCCTTGGCATTAGCTACTGCAGCTGTTCCACACGAGTTAATAACAAGTAAGTTCGTCTTCACGGGTCTCCCAGATTGCACCGCGCGTGCATATCCGTTACACTTGGCGTTGTCGGCATAAACGTACAGCGTGCTTGCTGGGGTTTGTGTTTGGGAGGCTCCCGCCTGCTGCTGCACGCAGCTTTCTGCGCTTTCGTCTCCACACATTTTTGCTTTGCCTCGCTGATCGGCATGTCTCGACTTAGCGTCGACTCCTCGGACTCGGACTCGGCCAGTCCAGAGCCCTCAGAGTGTTCTCGCTTGCCGGTGTCTCCACCCAGTGCTTCGGCTTTCGGGCCGACAGCGGACGATTCCCAATCGTCTTTGCTGCCGTCGTTTGATGGCGCGCGCGCTGCTTACCCCATCATAGAAGCCACCCGTTTGTCAGAGCTTTGCGCTCAGCGCCGACGGGAGGAGTTCGCCTCCACGGCTTCTACTGACGCTAACCCCGTGGGTGCTGTCCTCAAATTGCCTACACCCACAGCAGAAGCTTCGGTTTCCACCTCTGTCCTTTCGAGTACCCAGCCTTCTGTTTTTGCAGCCGCTGGTGGTGTGTCCCAAGTTTTCCCGCCGGAACCACATGTTGCTTATTCCACTTTTCCTCTCACCTCCACCGCCGCTGAGCCTTCTGCTGTTGGGGCAGACATTGACTTTGACAATACTGGCTCTGTACTGCCACGCTTGCCTCATGGCTCTGTGGTTGGCCGCACACTGCATTTCGATTACACTGTGCCGGCCATTCCTCCTTTTTCGTCGCGTAGCAGTCGCACACAAGCCGCCGCTCGTGCCCAACGACTCCATGACCATCATGCATCCGTTTCAGTGGCATCAGTGCCTTTGGTTTTGAATTCACATCCATCTGTTCCAGTGGTTTGGACTGCCTCTGCGGTTCCGACCGCTTCACATGCAACCGTCTCAGTAGTTTCGACTGCCCCCGTTGCATCTTCTCCTGTCCTTTCGACTGCCGTGGCTGCTTCCCTTGGTCTTGATGCCCCTGTTAATATAGTTTCGACTACTTCAACTGCAATTTCGGTTGCTGCCCCACCATCTGCTGCAATAGCTCCCCATATGTCTGGAGCATCTCCCGCTCCCGCTACCTTTGTCCCCGTAGCTTCCCCATTGCCAGCCCCAGTTTCGACTGTTTCAAAGGCATTGGCTTCAGTAGCTCCGTCGATGCCTGCAGTTTCGACTGCCTCTGCTGCATCGATTCCTGTAGCTCCGCCTTTGCCCCCAATGATGGCTGTTCCCCGTGTTCGCCCTATGGGCGTCCGGTGTACACATTCGGCTATCATTAACCCAGCAGTTACCGTGCCAGTAGCTTCGTCTCGGACTGCATCCCTCACTGGTGCACGTGTACCCACAGCCGACTCTATGTCTGCCGTGTAGACTGCTGTTCCCACGCTAGTTGCGGCTTCGGCTCCTCTAGCAGTAACCTCGGTTACTCCTGCAGAATCCGCTGCCGATGCGCCTGTTGTTTTGCATAATGCGGTGCCTCCACCTCCCCTCATGCTCTCCTCCTCACACGAACGTGCAGCCACTTCCGCTGCTTATCCCTTCTTAAAATGGCAGAAAACGGCAATCGTCGTCTTCGCGACCTCCTCCGACAATCTACCATGGTCACCACCCAGCTTGTGGTCAAGCCTGAGGCGACCTCCCTCGCTGGTGGAGCCGTCTCAACCCCTACCATCCGAGCAACGACCGCTGGCGCCGGCGAGAGGTCTTCGGCTACCCCCCACTCGGTGCGCCGGCCCCCCTGGCCCCGCTTTCGACGGCTTCAGTGGCAACTGCGACTTCAGCAGCCCCCGCTGCTTCGGCGGCCCCCACTGTTTCGGCAGCCCCAACGGCTTCGGCGGCACCCCCGACCTCGTCGGCACCTCCGCGGCGCCCCCGTTGGGTTTGTTCAATCCTGTGGGACTGCATGACCGACGACTAGCGGCTGCTGGCCCTCTCCCCCCGGGTTAGCCAGGAAGCGGGCGAGGCCAGGTGGTCGACCTCGACCGCGAAGCGGCTCTTCGGAACCGCAACGCTCGGCTCGATGCCGAGTTCAACAAAGAGACTTCTGAACGCCCGGCCAAAATTGCGGTGTACCGTGCGCTCCGCGCCACCAACACCGATACCATCTTGGCCTACGCCCAGCGGAAACAAGCGCAAGAACGGGAAGAGGCCCTGCTGGCCGCCAAGCTCGCCGACGACCGCCGCCAGGAGGACGCGTTGGTCGCCGAGCAGGCCCGCGCTGATCAACAGCGTGAACACGATCTTCGGGTTCGGGCGGGGCGCTCCGTGCCGGGACCGGCCCCTGCTGCCGCTCCTGCTCCGTCGGCATCGGTGGCTCGCACGTACGCCGCTGCCGCCTCCAGCCCTATGACTCGGTCTTCATCACGGTCGCGACCCGTCACTTTCGAGGCAGGGGACGCTAGATTCACCCAGGCCAGGTTGTCTGACGTTGCCAGGTATGCCCAGGTCAACTATCAGGTAGACGGCCGCAAGGCCGTCATGGATCTAGCGGCTGGCGTGTCCACCGCTATGCCGTTGGCTGCCTCCGAGGAGGCGAGCTCACCTCGTCTTGGAGGTCGGGCCGAGAGCCGTTTGCCACGTCGGCGGCGTCCTGCATTGAGGAAGCCAACGGCATAGCGGTGGACACGCCAGCCGCTAGATCCATGACGGCCTTGCGGCCGTCTACCTGATAGTTGACCTGGGCATACCTGGCAACGTCAGACAACCTGGCCTGGGTGAATCTAGCGTCCCCTGCCTCGAAGGTGACGGAGAAGTGGAGGCGGATCGGACTCAGGCTCGGACCGGAGTCTCACCCGGAAGCACGGCGCTCGGAAGGGCTCTTCTTCCAGGCAAGTAGTCCCGTCCCTTATGGATGCGACGTTGAGTGATCATTTCCCTATACATGATGATTTTTTTTCTCAGGCCTCGCCCCTCCCCTCAACTTCGGTTGTTGGTACGGTTTCGGCCCCCCCTATTTCCTCGGACTCCGGGCGTTTGCGTCGTGTTGCGTTTTCGGACCTTCCCCCGCCTTTGGCTTGCCCCGTTTCTTCGGAACCCTTTGCAACTTCTGTTCCTTCTGCCGCATTCAATGCTGTAGACTCCGGATGTGTACGTAGCGTTGAGTTTTCGGACTCAGCCTCGGCTTCGGCCGCCCCTGTTTCTTTGGAAACCTCTGCACCCCGTCGCCTTTCTACCGCTCGCCATGCCGTAGATCCACGACTGATGCAGAACCATGGGTTTTCGAACCTCAACCCCCCTTCGGCGCTTGTACCACCTGTGCCGGGTGTTTCGCGTAGTGTGTTGTCCTCAGACCATGCTTCCACAGCTGCTTCGGTAGCCGTCGCCGCGCCCCCTGCTATATCCGATGATCGCGCCTTGCCACTTTCTTCTGACACGGCACACACTCGTCAAGCATCGATCGATGCGACTGAAGCAGCTGCTCGTAATGCTCATGTAGGTACAGTATAACGAGCTTAAATCACCCTCAACTTGAAAAAGGTTTAGAATGTCGCTACCATGCCCTTCTCCGCTACTCTGTTGCCGGGAGGCGGCTATCAGCAGCTTATTCGCACAACAAGGACGGCTTTGTCCGATATTTTGCTGTCGTGTGATGAGCAGAGGGAAGGTTTGACAGGCATTGATTTTGTGCGTGGATGGGAGTGTCCTCTCGAAAAAAAACTTCTGAGTGCGATCACCCCTGACAAGCTCTCTACCGCCGATCTCGTCCTTGCCATTACTGATTACTTTCAGCTAGTGAAACGGAGCTTGGATGGAGGAGCCCCTGGACCAGACGCTTTCCAGCTACTGTTGCGCCACATGGCGGAGCAATTTGACGTCGGAGACCGCCAAGAGTCGATTTTGCGGCTGCAACACTTTGGTGTAGCAGATGGTACTCCTTTCGCGGATTATCGTCGGGCTTTCCGATTGTTGGTTTCGTCTGTGACTGGCTCTGAGCGTGCTTTGGCCCCTAGTGTATCCATGGTTCTCGGAATAGCGCGAAACTCGGTGGACAAGCGATTTCCGAGTCTGTCTCCGCTTTTGTACCCGGGTGCTTTGACCACTGCGGTCACTCCCTTTGAGTCAATTGCAGTTATGTGGGAGGCGTTCGCGCTTTTGGCGACTAATAAAACCTCGGCTATCGGTGGTTCATCTTATTCTCGTTGACTTCGACGCGTGGCTCTTCGCAGCCTCGGCGGTCTAACCACCGCGCCCCGGCGTCTTCGGGCCAGTGGGCATCCGGCTCCGCACAGAACCCTGCAGTTTTGCCCGTGCAACCTCAAGTCGCGGATCCTTTCACGCACAACTACAACTCGTGGCCTGCTTCGCAAGCCGACTGGTCTGATGTATACGCCCTCACCGCTAATTTTCGTAACACCGATGATCCTTTTGTATGGACTCCTTTGTTGACACAAGCGGCTCGATCCCAAGCCTTCCGCGAAAACAGAAACCGCTGCCTGAAGTGCTCGGGTGACGACCATTTCATGAAGCAATGTGCTTCTCCCTTGACGAATTCTAGTGGGTTGTTGAATCCCGAGTTGGGTCACCTCAATGACGACTCTGCTGTTTAGNCTGATGTATACGCCCTCACCGCTAATTTTCGTAACACCGATGATCCTTTTGTATGGACTCCTTTGTTGACACAAGCGGCTCGATCCCAAGCCTTCCGCGAAAACAGAAACCGCTGCCTGAAGTGCTCGGGTGACGACCATTTCATGAAGCAATGTGCTTCTCCCTTGACGAATTCTAGTGGGTTGTTGAATCCCGAGTTGGGTCACCTCAATGACGACTCTGCTGTTTAGTAGGCGTTGGCAAGGCCGCATGCGATCCTTCAGGCGTAAGGGTTCAGATGGCCGCAATAACAATCAGGGTAGACGCCACCGGCAGTCTTCTTCTTCCTCCTCTCAGCGTAGAAACCACGCTGGGCCTCGCCGTTCCGACGGTGGTAGTCCCTCTCACAATCACCAACAATCAGACCACGGTGGTCAAACCGCGGGACATTCCGCGGGTAACCATCATCATACACAGCAGACGTCTGGCAACACCCACCACACTGGTGTTCTGTCCGTCTATCAACTCCAATCGCATGCTCAAACTGGTCCCTCGTCTGGTGGTTTCGATCAATCACAACGCACGCCAACCAGGTAACTTCCACAGTGGTGGCCGTTCACGTACCGGATGACTCCCCGACGGTGGTTCGCCTCCTTCCCTCGGACCGCCTCCAGCATCTTTGGGAAGCTCGTCTCGCTCAACACAAGACGCGCGTGTATCACCCTCAGTTGCCTCTAGCACTTCGGTCTTAAGCAACGACAACTCTACTTCGGTATTGCTTATCCCTACGCGCTCTGTTGCCTCTAGCACTTCGGTCCTACCCAATCACAGCAATACTTCGANCGACGGTGGTTCGCCTCCTTCCCTCGGACCGCCTCCAGCATCTTTGGGAAGCNGGGTAACCATCATCATACACAGCAGACGTCTGGCAACACCCACCACACTGGTGTTCTGTCCGTCTATCAACTCCAATCGCATGCTCAAACTGGTCCCTCGTCTGGTGGTTTCGATCAATCACAACGCACGCCAACCAGGTAACTTCCACAGTGGTGGCCGTTCACGTACCGGATGACTCCCCGACGGTGGTTCGCCTCCTTCCCTCGGACCGCCTCCAGCATCTTTGGGAAGCTCGTCTCGCTCAACACAAGACGCGCGTGTATCACCCTCAGTTGCCTCTAGCACTTCGGTCTTAAGCAACGACAACTCTACTTCGGTATTGCTTATCCCTACGCGCTCTGTTGCCTCTAGCACTTCGGTCCTACCCAATCACAGCAATACTTCGATGAATGTTCTCCCTACGCGCTCTCGCACTTCGGTGCTATCCAATGACAGCGGTACTCAGGTACACGCTATTTCCTCAAGTGTCGATCAGGTCGGTCTTCAGCCAAATGCTCACATCCCACCTTCGCCATCGCACTTATCGTCTGCAACCTCTGCACCCTCGCCTCGTCGGATTGCTGCTTCGTCGGAAACTAATCAGTCTGACGTGAGTGCTGTCTTGAGGTGCGGGAACAGACTCGTCGGACCTTCGGGGCCATTGAGTTCTCCTCGTTCGATCAGCACCTCTCGTTCGCTCCCCTCGTCGTCTGCAGATAGGATCGGCAGTAGCCATGACCTTTGGACGATTGATGAGGAATTGCCCGAATAGATCGCCTCAGGTGCTTCTTCGGATAGGCGCAATTCGTCTATGCTCGCTTCCGTTGAGGGTCCGCCTTCGACTGTTGCACCCATAGCTAACTTGACTGGTTCCGACCGGCAAGTTCTAGGGTCAAATTCGTCTGGCTTCGAATCGCTTTGTGCCCCTGGTTCCGATCACCGGACATCCTCAGATTCAGCCACGCGACATTTCGACCGTGGGTCGTCTTTACAAGCCCCACCTTCTCCGACGCACGCTCGCACAACGGCACCCACTGCTAGGCTGCTGCAACCGACGTCGACAGTGTTGACACCACCGCTTCGGGAGGGCGCCCCCGAAGCGACCTCCGAACAGCCGGCGGTCTCGCGTACCTGGTCATGGGGGAATAAATAGCCAGGAGCGCTATGCTCGGTTAAGTTCTTCAACTCACCCGGCTTTGGCAGCCGTTCCCAGCGAAAGTGGCCTGTTGCCGAACACCTTACGAGGCGCTTCTTCGGGTTTAGAATTGGGGTGCACCCAGCCCAGTGTTGCTGGCCTAATTATTGCGAACAATCCGACTCAGGTCGATTCTTCGTCGGTTCCCGCTGTTACAAGGACCACCCCCATGGATATTTATACTGTCCATCATGACTCCGCATCTTCGGCTGCGACTCCAGCTTCGACTGACAGCATTCAGGGCGCTCCGACCTCTGTTGCTCCGACCGTTTTCGTCCCGTCTACCGAGTATTATACTCCAGACATGTTTTTCTTTTAGAAGCCGCCCTCCCCTTTTCCCAATGGACACCGTCGACCTTCACGGTCGATGGCGTTGTTTACTCGTGTGCCGAACAATTTTTCGCTGCAGAAAACGCCTGTCTTTTCGGAGATCGTTGTGCTTTGCAGAACGTCATGCGAGTGTCAGACCCTGCCTTACACAAAAAGTTTGGCCGTGAGGTCCGTAGTTTCGACCAATCTCTTTGGGAACAAGAACGCGAAAACATTGTGCTCACTGGCTCTTACCCAAATTTTAGTCAAAATTCCGAGTTACGAAACCATCATCTCCTCGGATCTGGTGACAAAATCCTTGCCGAAGCCAGTCCTTACGACCGTGTTTGGGGCATTGGCCTCCAGGCCGATCATCCCGACGCTCGATAAACATCTAGATGGCGCGGCCTCAATCTGTTAGGCACCGCCCTACAGAACGTACGCAGTATTTTACGACACCGTGCCCCGCCTCCCGAGCGCAGCTCTTGTTTGCTGCCCCCGACCGACCACGTTCCGATGTCGACCCTTCATTCTGCGGTGTATGAAGTTAACCCTTCCACACACCGGCGCCTTCGGACGGCTTCGTGCCCTCCATCGACCGACCGGTTCGCGTCATTTTCGCAATACGCCCCGAATGCTCCGTCGGATCACGACACCGCCGTTTGGGCCGTGTCTTCTGGGTACATCCCGTCGTCCTCCTCCTCGCTCCCAGAGCAAGGTCCGGATTTGGTTGGTGGTGTTGTCACCATCGATGCCGACTCTTTCAACACCAGAATCCTCCTCCACAGCGGTTCGGCCTCTGTGCAGTTTGGGTGTATCGCTCTGTTGGATACGGGTTCTCCACAGTCTTTTATTAGTGCTTCTGCATGGGAATCCATGAAAGCAGCTTCGGCTGCTTCGACGTTGTCCGAGAAACACACCCAACCTCGCTCTTGGGGTGGTTTGGGGAAATCTCCGCCGCTTCAAACTTCGACTATTGTCCGTTTGAATGTTCAGTTTCTCCGTAAGAACCTTCCTACTTCCTCTCTTGCTGTTTGGGTATACTGTTAAGGAGGACCCGTTTCGCAGGGCATCTGTCGATTGACTTTTTACCTAAATTGGTACACCTTCGCAATACGTTGTTCCTGACGGCGTCATGCATCATGACGTGCTCCTCGGCAGAGATAGTTGGATGCGGTTTAGTGACCGTTCTTGCCGCACTTTGCGTGCGAAACATCCTGGTGACCGTGTCTTTGGTGAGGTTACATTCGCCCAACATGACACTTAGTGCCACTGCATTTGGTCACGATCTGTCCACAACAGATGAAAGCTACCAACTTCGCTATGCAGGCAAACACTCCGTTCAACTTCACCCAGGTCATAGCCTCATTCAGGTCAATTTGGTACGCAGTGATGGCTCGCCTGCCCTTGTGGGTAACTATTTAAGTGGATATGCTTCCCCAGTGTGCTGTGTTTTTTCCGAGGAATGTTTTGTGCAAAATGGTTGCCAACGGATCCCTGTTGCGGGCATCTCGTCTCTCGAACCCGGCGACGTTCTGGGTACAGCTTCGGCTCCCCTTCTTCGCGTGCCTCTTAGCGCTGTCTCTCGCCACAGTTTGAGCGATGGTCTTCAAATTGCGANGTCAATTTGGTACGCAGTGATGGCTCGCCTGCCCTTGTGGGTAACTATTTAAGTGGATATGCTTCCCCAGTGTGCTGTGTTTTTTCCGAGGAATGTTTTGTGCAAAATGGTTGCCAACGGATCCCTGTTGCGGGCATCTCGTCTCTCGAACCCGGCGACGTTCTGGGTACAGCTTCGGCTCCCCTTCTTCGCGTGCCTCTTAGCGCTGTCTCTCGCCACAGTTTGAGCGATGGTCTTCAAATTGCGACTTCAGAATCCACCGCTGCTTCAGACAGCTGGGTCCCTGGTCCTGTTTCTGCAGGTGGCGTTTATTCGTCTGCCACGCACTCCGTCTCTGACCCCTTTGTGTATAACTTGCACGAGCGACCCGCCCCGTCGCCAAGCGACCGAGGGTACTTTGGTTCCACCAGTGCTTCCTCTTCGTCGCCTTCGCCTGCTCTCCTCGAGCGGTTGACGCCAGAACAGTGTCAAAATTTCTCCCAAGTCTGGGATAAGCTCCCCTGCCATCTACTACGTGATATTACTTTTAATCTCCACGGCCCGGGTTGGACTCCCGATGTCATTTTTCAGCTTGGTAACGTTTTGTGCGAATACCATGATGTGTCCTCGAGTTCTCCGACCGACTTTGGATCTTGTTCGCTTTTTCCTTTTAAGCTTACAATTCCTCCTGGCCGTGCACCCGTCACGTCTCGCCCCTACCGCGATAAATCCCCCGGTGGCGAAACAAGTCGACGCCATCCTTGACCAATATCTTGCGGCAGATTTGATCCAGCACTCGACCCCGCCTTACTCGAGCCCTTTGGTAGTCATACCGAAGAAATCTGGTGGTGTTCGCATCACCGTCTATTATCGCAAGTTCAACAAGCTTTGTGCTTGGAGTCAGCTTCCGATTCCTCGAGTTGATGATACTTTGGACAAGTTGTTGAAAGGGCGAATTTATTCCCTTTTCGACATGAAATCTTCGTTCCACCAAATCACGGTGCACCGCGATACAATTCCTTTGACGGCATTCGTGACGTCTTCCGGGCTTTTCGAGTGGTTGAAGATGCCCCAAGGCAGTTCGGCTGCCTTTGGGTGGTTTTGCAAAGTTGTCAATGAAGTCATCAAAAATTTTCGCGATGTTGCATCGTACGTGGATGATTTGATCGTCTTTGATGACACCCCTGCTACTCATGTTGGTACCATGCGCGCCCTCTTTGAACGCTTGCGTACGCACAACTTGAAACTCACGCCTCCGAAAGCTACTTACTATTGGCGCTACTGAAGCAGACTTCCTCGGACACACCACCTCCCCTGACGGCGTTAGGCCTAACGGTGCCAAGGTTTCGGCCCTCACCAAAATGCCCATGCCCAAGGATGTCAAGCAACTACGTTCCCTTCTCGGTGGTCTCAGCTACTACCGTAAGTTCCTCTCCAACATGGCTAAACGCATTCGACCTCTGAGAACTCTACTCAAGAAGCAGGAGAAGTTTATCTTCACCCCTTCCATGCAGCAAGCCGTTCGCGTTTTATTAGCTGAGTTGTCCTCCTGTTTTGGTTTATCCAGCTTGGGATGCCGTTTTAGACTGCTCACGACCTTTTCATCTTTACTGTTATGCTAGTCGCGATGGGTTTGGTGGGAATCTCGAACAAGAACAGCCAGATGATTCCATTCGTCGCTGACGCCATATGCGAAGGTGTACCGACTCAGGTAAAAGTTAATCGACAGATGCGAAGGTGTACCGACTCAGGTAAAAGTTAATCGACAGATGGATACCCTGCGAATCGGGTCCTCCTTAACACTCTCCACCCACAGAATTTACCCTCAACTGGGAACCTCTTGTGGCCAGGATGGGTAATTCGATGGAAGTGTCACAAGGTTCTTTGCAGGATCGACTCCAAGAGGTGTTTTCAGGACTGACACACATTGTCCATGGGAAAATATCCAAGTCAGGAGAAAAAGTGTGCACCCAAGGAGGTTCGAACCAGTATCCAGCTGACGCCATATGCGGAAGGTGTACCGATTCAGGTAATAGTCAATCGACGGATACGCTGCGAATCGGGTCCTGCTTAACACAATTGCCTTCATCAGTCGGGCTACTTTAGACTCAGCACGTCACTGGACTCCCCTCGATCTCGAGGCGGGTAGCATCGTGTGGTGT